CCTGGCCCCTGGAGTTTACAGACTAACCTTAGGAGAGAGAAAATCTCACTTCTAGGGGACTTGGGCCTAGTCCCACTTTAGAGACCCTTGAGCCACTCTCAGTCGAGGGATGTGACTGGTGCCTCTCTGGGGCATTTCATAGGACAGGGTTAGGAGCACGGGCTGTGCAGCCTGGTAAGACCTGGGTTCAAATCCTGGCTCCACGACCTCCTCTCTGTGTGAGCTATGGCTAGTCACTGCACCTCTCTGAGCCCCCTTTCCTCATCTGTAAAATGGACAGAATAATAACAGTACTTACCCCTGGAGGGATAATGCTTAGAGAGCACCATCTCTAGCAGTCAGTCAATGGTACCTATTATTATTTTTACTTTCAAAAAGAATCTGAGGAGTGTTACTTGTAATAAAAGCATACATAGAAAAAGACCGTGACACCACCTATAATAATGAAAACGTAATATGCTAATTAGACCGGACGTCCTTCCGGACGAAGCCGGGGCTGCAGCCGCAGGATCGAGGCAGCCGCTGCAGCTGTGAGGGAGGGATCCAGGCAGCTGCTGTGGCTGCGAGGGAGGGATCCAGGCAGCCGCCGGCTGCAAAGGCCTACTCTTGCACAAATTTCGTGCACTGGGTCTCTAGTAAGGAATAAAAGTTTAATGTTAAGCCCAGCCGGTGTGGCTCAGTAGTTGAGTGTCGACCCATGAACCAAGAGGTTACCAGTTCAATTCCCAGTCAGGGCACATGCCCAGGATGTGTGCTGGATCCCCAGTAGAGGGAGTGCAGGAGGCAGTTGATCAATGTTTCTATCTCTCTATCCTTCTCCTTCCCTCTCTCTCTAAAATCCATAAAAACATATTTTTCAGAAAGTTTAATGTTAAAGGGGAAAAAAACTCCTGCTGACAGAAAAACATGACCCTGGCAGATGGGGGAATAGAACTGAATTTTACTCCACTTCATTCAATTGCCACTGTTTGCCAAGCTGCCATCTTGGAGTTCTCCCGAAATAGGGATTTGCAAATCCTACTTTTCATAACCTGTAGACAGGATTCTGCTTTCACACCAAGTGCACAGCTTCTCCTGCTTGGAGTTCACTTCCACTTTTTTAATAGTGCGTGCAATCCAGGTACTTTTCTGGCTCTACTTTGTCAAAGATGTATTTCTTCACTGGAAATATATAAAATAAAAACTAGTAACCCTACCGTCCCTTCTATTTTCCTCTCTGAGCAATAAACAAACCTGCCAAATGAAAAAGAAACTGGCCATACTTGAGAATAAAATTTAAGTTGTGAGCATAAGGGAACTCAGGATAAAAGGAAACATCCTGGCTTTCATGTCTAGGAATGAAAAGGGAGGCAGCCATGACAGCACCCAACATGGAAGGTGGGGTGATGAGTCAGCTAGAACCTCCAGAAGGCGCAAATAGGACACATAGAATGGCCTCATCTCCTCTAGATATTGTCTATGGGACGTAGTAGGGCATGAGATCATTTGTACCATCATTCCTACTATAGGACTAAAACAGCAGCCTAAAACTCTCCAGGGCACAGCAACACCATGATCTGGTAACAATAAGTAATCTATATTATAAAAGGCCTGTGGCCCTAATGCTATAACAACCAAAGACCAGCACGGGTGGGTGGGGCTGGGTGATTTCACGCTCTGGGCTTCTAGTAATCTACACTAATAAAAGAGAAAAATGGTAATTGGCGTACGACCGCTACCCTTCTGATTGGCTAATCAGCGTATCCTTATGCAAATTAACTGTCAGCCAAGATGGCGGCCGGCAGCAAGGCAGTTGGAAGCGAACATGAGGCTTCCTTGCTCCCGTGACTGCAGACTCCAACGTTCCCCGCCTTGCCGGACTCTGAGCTGGCAGTTTGAAACATTCTAACAAATATAGCCGGCTGGGATCTCAGAGCTGAAGTTATACATTGTTTCGATTATAGAACTGCAAACAAACCAGCAGCGGAAGCCTCAGAGCTAGAGCCAGAGCTAAAGCTGACCCAGAAGAAAAAAAAAAAGAAAAAAAGGAGCGGTTGGGAGCTTCCCGCCAGCCTGAAAGCAGCCCTCAGCCCCTCACCCAGACTGGCCAGGCACCCCAGTGGGGACCCCCACCCTGAAGGGTGTGTGACCAGCTGCAAACAGCCATCATCCCCTCATCCAGGCTGGCCAGGCACCCCAGTGGGGACCCCTACCCTGATCCAGGACACCCTTCAGGGCAAACCAGCCGGCCCCCAGGCCTCTATCCTATATAGTAAAAGGGTAATATGCCTCCCAGCACCGGGATCAGCGGAGCCGTGAGGCCTCCTGGCACCAGATCAGCGTGACAGGGTGCAGCGCCCAAACCCCCTGATCGCCCTGCGGCTCTGTGTGTGACAGGGTGTGGCGTCCCAACCCCCTGATCGGCCCTGCTGTGTGTGTGACAGGGGGTGGTGCCCCAACCCCCCTCCCCCCGCCCACGGGCCCTGCTCTGTGTGTGACGGGGTAGAGCCATAACCTCCCCATCGGCCCTGCCCTGAGTGTGACAGTGGTGGCGCCCCAACCCCCTGATTGGCCCTGCTCTGTGGGTGATAGAGGGCGGCGCCCCAACCCCCTGATCCACCCTGCTCTGTGTGTGACAGGGGGCAGTGCCCTAACTCCCCTATTGGCCCTACTCTGTGCGTGACAGGGGGGAGCTCCCCAACCCCCTGATGGGCCCTGCTCTGTGCGTGATGGGGGGGGGCAGTGCCCCAACCCCCTGATTGGCCCTGCTCTGTGAGTGACAGGGGGCAGCGCCCCAACCCCCTGATGGGCCCTGCTCTGTGAGTGACAGGGGACAGCGCCCCAACCCCCTGATTGGCCCTGCTCTGTGCATCACAGGGGGTGGCGCCGCAACCTCCCCATTGAACCTGCCTTGAGTGTGACAGGGGGCGGTGCCCCAACCCCCCAATCAGCCCTACCCTGAGCGTGACTGAGGGTGGCATCGCAACCTCCCAATCCGCCCTGCTCTGTGCATGACAGGGGGCGGCGCCCCAACTCCCCAATCAGCCCTGCTCTGAGCCCGACCAGGGGCTGCACCTAGGGATTGGGCCTGCCCTCTGCCACTCAGGAGCAGGCCTAAGCCAGCAGGTCGTTATCTCCCGAGGGGTCCCAGATTGCGAGAGGGCACAGGCCGGGCTGAGGGACCCCCTCTTCCCCCCCGAGTGCACAAATTTTTGTGCACAGGGCCTCTAGTCCTATATAATAAAAGCCTAATATGCAAATTGTCCCCTGGGGTAGTAGTTCAACCGGGAGTTCGACTGCTCGCTATGACATGCGCTGACCACCAGAGGGCGGCGCGAAACATGGTGGCGTCAGCTACACGGGGCTAGCAGCGGGCAGCAGTGGAGGTGCTGCTGGCCCTGATGGGCCCCGACAAGACAGGGACAGCGGTAGGATGGTGGAGCAGGTGAGCAGATGGCGACCAGCAGCGGCAGCGGGGGGGCGGGGCCGCTGCCTGGCTCCCAGGTGCTCAGGAAGCCGGGCGGGGGCCCAGCCCCAACTGATCACCCCGCAGGCGGGATGGTGGAGCAGGTGAGGGGGCGGTGCCAAGGCAGGGTGCCAGGTGGGGCTGCGGGGCTGCGAGGCTGGGGGTGAGAGCTGGGGGCCCGATCTCTGCAGGCCACCCTGAGGGACCCACCCATGCACGAATTCATGCACTGGGCCTCTAGTAATAATAATAATGACAGTGTACCAGAGATCACTTATTAAATGTGAAGTATGTGTCTGGTGCAAGGCTAATCACTTTATGAATCATCTTACTTCCTAATACTACTAACAATAGGGAGTATTTATTGAGCACTTGCTCTGTGCCAGATTCTATGTTAAGTATTTTACGTATATTAATAAGAAAAATAATGAAAATAATAACCTATCCTTGCATAGCACTGTCCTAAGTGCTTTAAACATATTAATTCATTTAACCTCCTGCAATCTCGTGAAGTATGTTGTACTATAACCCTCATTTTATGGATGAGGCACAGAGAAGTTAATAACGAATCCAGCGTCACACAGCTAGGAAGGGGCAGAGCCTGAGTTCAGACCCAAGTAGTCTGAACTCCTTATTACTACACTCATTCCTTCACACCAACCAACCAGCGGGGGAGCTCCTATCACAACCCCCACTGGACAGATGAGGAAACAGAGGCTCAGAGAAGGTGAGTGACTTGCCTGAAGTCACACAGCTAGTCTGCCAGGATTCGAACCCAGGTCCGACTCAGAATCCCATACTCTTACTGCACGGTGAGGGCCTCTGCCGCCTTTCCCTGGCATTTGGGATGGAGAGCCCCTACCCGCAGCTGAAATCCCCGTGTCCCTGGGACTCACCGAGCTTATGCTGGAAGCACAGTTTGGTCAGGAGGATCAGGATGAAGGGCAGGCCTTTCTGGAGCCAGCAGACCACGGCCTTCAGCTCGGACAGGGCAGGGGCGGGAGTGCCGGGGTGCTCATCACCCGCTTCATCTGCGTGCGCCCGGTGGTCCCCGCCCACGTGCTGCAGCAGCGAGCTCCCGCGGTGTCCTCCGTGGTGAAAGTGGTGGTGGGGCTGGCGGTGGTGGTAGGTGCCGCCCTCGCCCCGGCCTCCACCCTCCTCTCTGGACGCTGGCATCTGGAGGAACACGTCCCCACCGCTGGCAGAGGCCCCCAGCACCAGGCTGGATGGGAACGGGGCGGCGGGAAGGCTGCCTGTCGGGAGGCCGGAGAGGCCAGAGAAGAGCGCTGGCGGGGAGGCGGCTTCTGCCTTCAGACCCTCAAAGACGCCCCCTTCATTCACGCTCACCTCGGGGCTGAGTGCTTGGCTGCGATTTCTAGGCCAGAAGGGAAGAGAAAGCCCCACAAGTCAGAGAGGTAGAAAGACAGTCACCCAGGGGAGACTGGGGGACAGATAACAGTATCAATAATGTCCTAAGCTGAATTTTGCCTCCCCACAAACTCCTATGGTGAAGCCCTAACCCCCAGGACCGCAGAGTCTGACTGTAATTTGGAGGCAGGTACTTTGCAGAAGTGACTAATGAAATGAGGTCATTAGGGCAGGCCCTCATCCAATATGAACGGTGTCCTTGCACTGACACACACAGGAGGGAGAATGATGTGAGGACATCTACAGGCGAAGGAGAGACGCCTCAGAAGAAACCAACACTGACAGTATCTTCATCTCCCTGATCTCGAACTTCCAGCCTCCAGAACCGCGAGGAGACACATTTCTGTTGTTTAAGGTGCGGTATCTTGCCACGGCAGGCCTAGCAAACTCATTCAAATAATAACAGCAACAGGCCCATGCTCTTTATTGAAAATTTACTACGTACCAGACAGTTTTCTAAGTGCTTTCCACTGATTAACTCATTAAATCTTCTTACCAACCCTGAGAATTAAGGTCCTAATAATACCCCCATTTGACAGATCAAGAAACTGAGGCACAGAGAGAGGAGGAGAAAGAGAGAGAATAACTTGTCCCAAGTTGCACAGATGGTCCGATAAAGAAGCTGAGGCTCAGAGAGATGAGCATGCCAGACACCCTGGATTATCTAGCCCCAAACTCCAATCTCATTGTATGCCCTTCCCTCACTACCCAAGGCTTCCTACTGCAGGGCCTTTGCACAGGCTGTCCCCTGCTCTAGATGTCACCCTCGCCCTGACCCACCTCGGTACCTATGCTCACCTTCCTTGGTGGAGCCTGCCTGACCTACTCCCAGAAAATGACATCTCCTTACTCCTAGTTCTCATTGCATCCTGACCTCAGCTGCACGGGACTGATCACAAATCATCATTCACTGCTTACCTGTCTGTGGCTCTCAACCCTAGCTGCACGTTATAACCACTCAGGGCAGCTTTTGAAAAATACCTGGTACAGGTGCCTGGGACCCCGTGTTGCCCTACTGAACCAAAATCTCTGAGGGCGGGGCCTGGCCTCTCCTAGGTCTTCAGAGGCGCCTGGTGATTCTCATGTGTAGTAAGCACTGAGGATAGCACTTTAGACTGGGCCCTTGCCATGAAGTCGAAGATCATGATTGTTTGCCCCCACTGTATATCTCTCCTACCCAGCACAATGCACCTGGTACGTAAAACATGCTCAAGAAACAGTGTTTGAAAGAATGAATGAATGAGCACACTAAAGGCTCTGACAAGGCCTGCAATTGGAAAAATTAATTATGCTTAAACTTAGTGTTTTCCAAGCTTATTTCCCCATGGAATTTGTGTGTGTGTGTGGGGGGGGGGGGGGGTGGAAATCTATGAATGTCTTAGAGCAGCGGTCACCAGCCTTCTGGACCTCACGGACCACCAGTGGTCGGTCCGCGGACCACCAGTTGGTGACTGCTGTCTTAGAGAACACTGGTGAAACCCAGCAGGGGCAATGCTGGTCTGGAGAAATCTCAGGGTTGATTACTCTGGCTTCATAAACTGACCCAGGGTTAAGTTATCACAAACCTGGTGCAAGGGAGGGGAGCTTGAAGATGGCTACCTACTCCCCTACCACCTGGCGCATCCGCATGCTGCCTCCAAAATCCCAGGAAATGTGTGGTCCCTCTCCCTTGGGTTTGGCATGATAATAAAGATAATATTAATAATGACAACAACAACTGACACCATGGCTATGATCCTCAAGGGGCCTCGAGCTTTTTCTGCACGTTAAGAAGCTAAGAACGACCGAGTGCTGGCAGGTGCCCACCCTGGCCCACATGGGGGCCACTCTCTCTCTCACTGCCCCACGAGGACCTGGAAAGTCTTCCTGGCCCCCTGAAGCTCACCAACACTCTGAGTTCATGGGGCTCATGGGACCTCTAGTACAACCAGTGAAGACTCAATCCACCAAGCAGCTTTTTATAGCTGGGCCCTAGCATCCAGCCGAGATTTCAGCCTAAATGGGAAAGAATATTCCTTGGGGAGGCAGCGGCTCTACTTCTAACTTAACCACTTAAGGGCTAGTGTGGGAGGCAACCCAGGAGAGGAGTGGATCTGCCCAGCGAGGAGACCGCCAAAACGTGCTGGCTCCGTGCACAGACTCAGGGTGGGGGTGTGGGAGATAGCTGGCAAGTGGCCTGGGATCCCAATCTCAGCCCTGCCGCTTCCTGGCTGTGGGACTTCAGGTAATTCACTTCGACTCTCTGAGTCTCAGTTTCCTCATCTGTCAAAACGGTGATACAAATAGTCCCGACCTCATCAATGGCACAGAGTGAGTGCAACACACGGTGGCCATTCTTCTTCTGCCCCCAAAGATCTCATGGTTCACTCGAGAGCAGGCAGCCATTCTGTCTTCAGAGGCTGGAAAAGCTCCAACGGGCATGCTTATTATTTGGATGCTGTGTGTGTGCATTTTCATATCCAAAGAGCCGCATGTGGCTCGTGAGCCGCGGTTTGCCGACCACAGGTATAGGCCATCACTGTGCAAAGCAGTTTCTAATCAGAGCTCCTTGGCTCCTCAAACAAGGAACCCTGAGATGCAGGTATTACTCAATACAGCTTTGAGCTGCCCCTGACCACTCGAAGCCCGGAGCCCCCAGATGGAATGAAACCAAAAGATGCCTACCTTTCAGGTGGAACGTTATCCGTGTTACTGCTGTGGCGTCTCTGCATTTTCCTTAAGACCTGAAAGCCAACACATGGCATAAGCCAGAGTCTCCCAACATCCCCACTGCCTGTCAGACTGCCATGGTAATTATAAATAAGGACTCCTCATATCGCATATCCCTAGAGCACTCTGACATTTTCCAAACCTTGTTTCCACCTGCCATGCCATTCGACACTCAATCCTATTGAGGAAAGTGTTATCACCGCATTTCACAGATGAGGTTGTTGAGGCCCAGACGCGGAGGAAGTCCTCATGGGAGAGAGGAAAGCACTGAACTGTGCGGCAAAGAGGTGATGGATGAGGTGAAGTGAGCAGCGGACTGGCAGGAGAAGACGTGGTTTCCAGACTGATGCTGCCCCTAACTTGCTGTCTGACTCTGGGCAAATCAGTCACCTCTCTGGGGACCCAGATTCCTCATCTGTTAAATGGGAGGGCGTGGAGTGGCTGAACCCAAAGCTTCTTTCCAGCGCTCACAATGGATAAAGTGGTAATGAATATGTGAATTCTCATGGAGACACGTCACCTTGTTTACTGTGAGGAGCCACATGGACTTCAGAATTCCATGCTGATGACACCTGAAGTGGGCATGCAGGGATCCTGACGGGGATGTGATCCCTGGATTGCAGAGAAAGCAGGCCTCCCCTGCCTCGTCCTCTCCAGACAGATGCTCAGGTCAGGGGCGTTTATGAGAGACTCCAAACCCTGGGTGGAACAGAACACTTACATGAACAGTCCACGGATGCCCCGAATCTCTGAATAATCTTGGAGCATCATGGGCTATAGCACATGATTCCATCTGCT